CGTTCACCGATCTGGGACCCGATCGTCGTTTGGGTCACGTTTTAGGTGGTCACGATTTATTCTGCCCGTGACAATATCAATTTCTTGTTTATTATTTACATAAGTTTCTTATTAAAATTAATAATATAAGTACGTATAAATTGTATATTTTAAATGTTAGCCCTTTATGAACATAAAATGTAGAAAACCAAGGCGCTCTTGGTAATTTTTAAATTTCTGTTTTTGTAATTTATTTTTTTTATTCAATGAGTTTCAACAACATTTATCTGTTCCTTCATCTTTTATTAGTTTTGTCACCCATTGCAGTTTCGTTAGGTTTGTTACCTTTCATCACCTTCTGCTAGCTACGTTACCCATCATCAGTTTCGTCACCTTTCGTCAGTTTCAACACCTTTCGACATTTCGTCATTTGAGATTTTAGTTGACGAAAGTCGAAACTAGGCTTCGACTTACATCAGCGCGAAACCTCGAGGTTTCGTCTAACAACTATAGGCACTAGCATAAGTCTGCACCTATACTATACTTACGGCACATGTTAAAAGTTATGGTACAAGTCAAATATTAAGGCATGAGCCAAATGTTACAGCACAAGTCAAATATTAAGGCATGATGAGCCAAATGTCACGGCACACGTCAGGTTTTACAGCACACTTCAGATGTTATGACAAACACCAGTTATGGCTCTTTGACGTATCGTCACGTTAGGATCAGTTACGGCACTTGCATCTATAAATACAGTATGCATTAGTTTTATTTAACTTTCTATTTTTATATATATATTTTATAAATAATGATTATATCTCCAATAATAATATTCAATTCTTTTTTTTTTTTTTTTTAACACATTATTATCTTTTTACAATATATTAAAATTTTAATCACTATTATTATAATAAGAAAAAAAAATAATCATTAATTATCCATATAAACGTCCTCTGATTTTTGTGTTTGAGCTATATTTGCTAACAAACTAAATATTAAAAATTAACTCTGTTCAAAAATCAATATTTATAATACGTAATAAATATATAATATTAAAATTATTAACTCAAGCTCTTGTACAAATTTATATAATGTACTTAATAATGCTATTCATAAAAAAAATGCTGGAGCACTAGTTCAAAAAATTAGAATAAAAGAAAATTTTACATAAACTTCACCAAGCTAGAGAAATGGCTAAAGTAATTAAAAAAAAAAGAATTCAGGCATAGTCCCGGATATCTCAAAATCAACAAGTATATAACTTATATATTCGAAATTTTATTTCATATTAAACGATGTTCATAAAATTTTATGATTTTTTTATCTTAGATGGTTCACAACCGTTGTAAACTTTAATTGCGTCGTCCGCGCCGTCCCAAGATTGCCGTCCCACTAAACGATACTGGTAAAAAAAGATTATCATAATTTAAACAAACTTTCGACTAAAAAATGAATAATAATAAAATAATAATTACTTGAAAAGAGTTAGGAACTCCAAATAAAATTTTCAAATATAAAGAAAATCCATATTTTCTTATTATTTGCAATGGGTGTGGATAACAGCCTAAGTCCTTTGCTATAAGAGATTTCTCAACGTTAGCCTTTGCAACATTCAAAAAAAGGCATTGCATTACTTACCTAAATAATCTAATTCTGGAAGATAGTAGCCTTGAATTGTATGTCTTGCTGCTATATAAAAACTTTTTTGTAAAAACTCTTGACGTTCTCGAATTTCTTTGTGCATTTCGGGGATTGAAGGATGCGGTGGTATGTAACCGCGAATTAAACTTGTAACATAACGTGCTTGCATCTCGGCCAATGGAAATATCGGACCTATCAGCTGAACCAAGCCAATAAAGGCAATATTAGGATATTTCGGTGGAAACATTCTTTTATACAACCAAACCAAATTCTCTCTATATTCTTCGTCAAATTCTTTCAAAACTTCTTTATCACAGACAATGTCCCTATCTAAAAATGGGAATTCGATTTGATATCCTGTAGCATAGATTACTACGTCGACGTTCTCAACTTTAGTTCCATCCATGAATTCGATAGAACCATCTTCGTTCAATTGTGCAATGTTTGGTTTAACAATAAGTGTTCCTGTTGAGAGGCGTTCGTAAAAATTGGTCTTCATTGTCGGATGGCAATTCGATGGTTCTATTTTAGGTTCTAAACCGGGAGGTGGAGATCCAATCGTAATTTTCGAAGTATACTTGGTTATATAGTTTTGAATAAATGTTGGCAACCATGTGATAAAGAAACGAGTACAAAGGGTTTTCCATTTACAAGTCTCGGATTAATCCATGGAAGTGTTCCTTAAATTATATGAATATTAAATTATAAATTTAAATACAATTACTAAATGTTATATATTTCTTGAATTTTCATACCTCGACGAACACAAATATAAACTTGCGACGATGCAGTCTCTGATAATTCCACCGAAATATCCATAGCACTAAAAATTAATTTATCAAATTTTTATAAATTATCTCCCTGTCAATGTATCCCAAATATAATTTTCGAAATATAGTACAGTATCGGTAACTCTCACCTATTTCCACATCCAACAATAACGACACGTTTATCCTTAAAATCAGCGGGCTCTCGATAAAAATGGGAATGAATTTATCAAAGCTCATATAAAAGTATATATATATATAAATATAATATTCACATACCATTTCTTTACTAGTATTTATGATCACACTCCTATAGCATGAAGAATGTGGATCCTTATTTTCTTCATTGACGCCAAAGTCCCGCAGTAGTATAGGATGCTTCAAAACACACCGGTTCGAGATTATCAGCAATGCATTGCTTCATGTAAGCCCAGACGCACCTTATTGTACATAATGAGATAAATGAAGAAAATATGATAAATTCATGATAAGGATGTCAATATATTTAATTACCTGCACCAATAATTGCAACTCTAGATTTTGACATTTTTTTCAGGATCAGGAAAAAGAAATAGCAGTATAAATAGTGTAAACGAAGGTTTGTACAACAAATCTAATTTTTTATTCTGTGTATATAGCTTGTTAATTATGTAAAAATAAACCATGTGTGACAAGCATAGAATTTTTAATTTTTTTAATTAAAAATTGGATCTTTTATTTATATTCACTTACTGGGCAACTGATAAACAATAATAATCGGAATATATGTTATCCTCACCTAATTTTAAATAAAAATATTGTTTATATTCATTATTTTTTAATTATTTACCTATATTTTTTAAGGTTGCCGGAATATATAACTGATAAGATTAGCGGAATATGTCATATAGTATTACACGTGAATAATCTACGACGACTGCGCTAAAGGCACGACCAGAGTAAAATATATATATTATACATGTGAAATGGAAATTAAAATAGGCTTCACCTCTCAAATGAGTATTAAGTGTATCTGGCTCTTTTTGATCACTTAACACAACTAGTAGGAACATAGAAAATAATATTTTTTATATTTTTTAGAACTCATTACTGTAAGTGTTTTCTATGCTTACTTCATATTTGACCATGCTTAATTACATAATTAAACGACGTAATATTTATTTTTATTTGCTACTTTTGATTTTTTTTTCTGTTTTCTTGAATCGTTACTTTTAATTAAATTTAGTATTTATCGCGAAATAACGTACTGTACATGGAGTTGAAAATTGATTACTTTAAAAATAACAATAATATATTTCAGATTGGGTCATGATTTTTTTTGGAATATAATTAAAGTGACAATTAAGAAGAGTTATATAAAATAGAAATTACGTAAATATCTATTGAATGCGTAATCAAATTTGCCAAACGTGGGTTCGATGGAATTTTGATAAAAAGATTATGATGACACATAGTATGACAAAAAATTAAAAATTCAAACAAATGCATATTGATTAACGTTAAACAAAAATATTTTTAATACATTTAAGCCAATAATCAATTTTCCCAATATGTCAATTAAAAGTTCTAATACGTATGGAACGCGATATAAATGTACAAATTACATAGTTAAGTTGCCGGTTTAAAAAAATCTGGTAATACGTAGAATGGATCACCAATAAAAATTAAATACACAATACTGTAATATGCAATACAATTATGGATTCGAATAGTTATCTACGTAACAGTGTTGGCATTGGATAAAATTTTATTGGAATTGGGCATATGGCTAATTGGAATTGGGCACATGCCCAATAAAGTCCTTTATTATGTGCAATTGGTCTAATTGCAACACTGGTTATCTATGGTCCGTATAATTTAACTATAAACTGTAGTTGTGTAGGTAACTAACAATATAGTTTACACAAATTATACGGATTACTGTTAACCAAATGCTCTTGAATGCTATCGATATTTTAAAAAAGAATGTCATCTCCATATCAAATATTTGAACTAGAAGATGACGCGTTTTACGCCTTAGTAAAAGAAAAAAGAATAACGCGAAATTTTTTAAACTATACCACAAAATATGACTATGTAGCTACTTCGTGTTTCGTGACAGATAAATAAAAAAATCTGTTTAGATATAAAGTGTCTTATTTTTTAGATAAAAATAATAGCGATAATGTAAATATGTATAATCCAAATAAAAAAAATAAATTAAATTCATTTATTATAAAACGCACCTATAGTGGTTTTGCACCTATCATATGCTTCTAAGTTTTGAATATAAAAATTTTCAACACAAATTTTCATGTTAGTGTTAGTATTTAGAGTTAGGGTTTGGGTTTGGGAATGGTTTTTAGGGGCGTAGAGCATTTTTACTTGGGACATCTTGCACTGATTAATTAGGCAGTTTTTTAGATGCGTTTTAAATTTGATTTAACTAGCACATGATCTTGTGGCGGCTTCGCCGCCTGATGTAATTGAGTATACGTAGTATCTTCCCCAGTATCGCCACCAAAAAGTTGCAGTCACGTGAGAATCGAAAAATTCTTTAAAGTTCATTTAGATTAGGGTTAGGGTTAGGGTAAGTGAGAGCTATAGGTAAAATTGCTTAAGGAAAACTTTTTGTTAAAGCACTAAAGGTGATTTCTTATGCTACTTTTTGAGAAACAAGCGATTTTTGACAAAGCGAACGTTTGTTTTGAATTTTCTAATCGTGTAACGTTACACCTGATCTTGAAACTGATTTGTTTGTGGTCATGTGACTGCAACTTTTTGGTGGCGATACTGGGGTAGTTTATACGTAGTATGTATGTCATATCATCAGCAAAAATAAATAGGCGTAAACCTCCGCAAGTTTTTACGCGAGCGTAAACTTACGAAAATTTACGATT